ATCTCTATAGAATGTGATTACTAAGTTCTAAATAACAGTTCTCTATAAAATGAGATTATTAAATTCTATATAACAGTTCTCGATATAATGGGATTACCAAAATCTATACAACATATCTGGAGAGAATGGGATTACGAAGTTATATATTACAGTTCTCTATAAAATGGGATTACAACACTCTTTATACCAGATCTATATAGAATTTGAATATCAAACTATATATAACAGATCTCTATAGAATGGAATAGCCAAACTCTATATAACAGATCTGTATAGAATGAGTTTACCAAACTCTTTATAACTATAGAATGGGATTATTAAGTTATATATAACAGTTCTCTATAGAATGGAATTACTAAGTTCTATATAACTGTTCTCTATAGAATGGGGTTTCTAAGTTCTATATAACAGTTCTCTATATAATGGGATTACCAAATATATACAACAAATCTCTATAAAATGGGATTACTAAGTTCTAAATAACAGTTCTCTATAGAATGGGATTACTAAGTTCTAAATGACAGTTCTCTATAAAATGAGATTATTAAGTTCTATATAACATTTCTCTATATAATGGGATTACCAAATATATACAACAAATCTCTATAGAATGTGATTACTAAGTTCTAAATAACAGATCTCTATAAAATGAGATTATTAAGTTCTATATAACAGTTCTCTATATAATGGGATTACCAAAATCTATACAACATATCTGTATAGAATGGGATTACGAAGTTATATATTACAGTTCTCTATAAAATGGGATTACCAAACTCTTTATACCAGATCTCTATAGAATTTGAATATCAAACTATATATAACAGATCTCTATAGAATGGGTTTACCAAACTATATATAACAGATCTCTATAGCATGGGATAGCAAAACAGTATATAACAGATCTCTATAGAATGGAATAGCCAAACTCTATATAACAGATCTGTATAGAATGAGTTTACCAAACTGTATATAACAGATCTCCATAGAATGGGAGAGCAAAACAGTATATAACAGATCTCAATAGAATGGGATAGCCAAACTCTATATAACAGATCTGTATAGAATGAGTTTACCAAACTCTACATAACAGATCTGTATAGAATGGGTTTACAAAACGCTATATAACAGATCTGTATAGAATGGGCTTACAAAGTTCTATATAACAGTTCTCTATAGAATAGGATAGTCAAAGTGTAAATAACAGATCAGTATAGAATGGGTTTACCAAACTGTATATAACAGATCTGTATAGAATGAGTTTACCAAACTCTTTATAACAGATATGTATAGAATGGGTTTACCAAACACTATAAAACAGAACTGTATAGAATGGGTTTACCAAACGCTATATAACATATCTGTACAGAATGGGATTACAAAGTTCTATATAACAGTTCTCTATATAATGGGATTACCAAATATATACAACAAATCTCTATAGAATGTGATTACTAAGTTCTAAATAACAGTTCTCTATAAAATGAGATTATTAAGTTCCATATAACAGTTCTCTATATAATGGGATTACCAAAATCTATACAACATATCTGTATAGAATGGGATTACTAAGTTTTATTTACATTGGGTGTGGCAAAGCCCTTCTATATTACTACTAAAGTACTGCCAATAGCAGCTTCATCTTATGAGACTATAACTGAAGTTGGTCTTTGCACCTCCGAGCGACTTAACAGTGTCACTACCGAACTTATCGGTATCTTCTGCTTTGATCCCTAACACCAGCTGCCTGTCTCAAGTGTCTGTGAGATCAACAAACAATTTTACGCCTGGATTTTTCACCAATTCAACCTTCTCCGGTTGCACGATCAACATCAACAACATGCCGGACCGCAAATATAACTCTGACCTGATTACTGCGGGCTTCCGTTGAGTGCGTGCGCCGGATATAGGTCGCAATAAAATCGGAAAATGTTTTACGACACTTGATTAATTACTTACAAAATGTCATTTGTTACTATTTATGAATCGAGAATATGATATATATATAAATCAAAATCAAATGAATTATTAACGAAAGTTGCGGAGTCTTTTCAATTTTGTATGGGAAATAGCGCATGACGTCAGCTGTTATCTTTGTGCCGTTCTAGATAATGGCCTGACCTGACGGTAATAAGCGGGGAATTTGAAATTTGGAAAAGACATAAAAAAAAAATTGCGAATTCTCATTATGGAAAAATAAATATGAGCAATAAACTGCAGAGATGTGGCAGACCAACTGGTATAACTGCCACATGTGTCACAGACAAACTTATCATGGTGCGAGTAAATATATCACAGTTCTCTATAAAATGGGATTATCAAACTCTTTATACCAGATCTCTATAGAATTTGAATATCAAACTATATATAACAGATCTGTATAGAATGGGATAGCAAAACAGTATATAACAGATCTCTATAGAATGGAATAGCCAAACTCTATATAACAGATCTGTATAGAATGAGTTTACCAAACTGTATATAACCGATCTCTGTAGAATGGGATAGCAAAACAGTATATAACAGATCTCTATAGAATGGCATAGCCAAACTCTATATAACAGATCTGTATAGAATGAGTTTACCAAACTCTATATAACAGATCTGTATATAATGGGTTTACAAAACGCTATATAACAGATCTGTATAGAATGGGCTTACAAAGTTCTATATAACAGTTCTCTATAGAACAGGATAGCCAAAGTGTAAATAACAGATCAGTATAGAATGGGTTTACCAAACTGTATATAACAGATCTGTATAGAATGAGTTTACCAAACTCTTTATAACAGATATGTATAGAATGGGATTACAAACTCTATATAACAGATCTGTCTATAATGGGATTACCAAACTCTATATAACAGTTCTCTATAGAATGGGATAGACAAACTGTATATAACACCTTGAAAAGTCTAGTGATACAGTAACACATTTACTTTAAAGTGAGTAGAAGAGGTGTAAATCCTGTTTTTTTTTTTTTACCAGTGATAGAAATAAAGGTTCTCTATTGAGTGCCAGTCAGTGATTTGTATTCATGTTACATTTAGTTGGTTAAAATAACTGTTTGCTTATTCAGTAACCTTAGCATGTACACGTAACTAATTAGGGATAATATGATAAATAAAACTACAATTATTATTTTTTCCAAGAACGTTAATATAAATAAAAATAGTAATAATGAACAAAAACAAAAGACACACACACACTCACCAGACACGAATATACGTCATGCTTACTATTAAAATAATAAATAGAAAAATAAATAAGTATTATAATTAATTATTTTCAGTGCATCATATAATGTACTAAACACGTATCAAGCTGTAAACCATTGTTAACGAAATATGTGCAACGTTTGTTATAACTCACAAGACAGATGATACGCCAGGATTGCTAAAAACATTGGACAAAAAAGCAAATGCAATGAGGTTGTGTCAATACTAGCTCCGTAGTTAACTATAGTGTCAAGTCTCGTATGAAGTCACGGTGTATAACCTGCTACTAACGAAGTATCGATGTTGTTATGTTGTATTCCTATCATTACAGGTTAAACATTTTCCCGATAGCAAGGCAAAATGAAACCTTGGAAGACACTGACCTAGTGCATGTTCCAAGAGTTACATCGGAACAAGCAGTTCAAATTCAAAAGACTAATAAGAGAACACCCCTGGTTCTTGAAGGCGGCAGCACCGGCCGCTGTTTTGCCTTAACACTCAATGGGATACACCAGGACAAATCTTCCCCATAGGTAGCATGGTTGAAATACGTGGTATGTATATTAAGACCAAACAATGGACAAATACTTGTACAACAATAAGAAAAAACTCTTCCCGATACAGAAACTAGCGATTAAAGCACAACTAATTTATTTGGTCGTGATATGGGTTGTCTTGCATGTGTGATACTGCTAGCAGTGCAAAGGCCATATCCCGGACCAGTCCATATCCGCCCAGCTCACACCATATCTGTTTCACTTCTGGTTCGATACATTTGAAAACAAAACACGTCTCAAACTGATAGTGACCACACTGCCAATCAATATGTGCTATTCTGATCATTGTATTTTATTTATGATTGAATGTATAGTTAAGCTCATGAACTATAACTTTTCTGTGTTTTTTTGTTTGTTATTGCTAAGAATTTTGATGCTAAAGAAGAGTAAACGATAAAAAATACCATATGACCATAGCCTCCTCCGTATAAGCCCTCGACCCATATCAGCCCTCGTGTTGATACATAATTCAGATATGGAACATAATAGTATGATATAATAGCCTCTAAGTAGCAGTGATCGGGCAATATTTACCTGTTTGATATAACGTCCTGCAGTCATAAACGAAACGTTATAATGTATGTTTGATGAAATCTATCTGATGCTTTTAAAACAATTGCAACATGATTCAAAATTTAATAATGTATATGCCAAATGATTAAATAAGCCATATTTTGCTCAAATCACATAAAAAATAAGATGGTAAGTGGTAGATATGTATTTATCATAAACTCAATATAGCACTAAGCTTACAATTCACGAAAACAACACGTTTTCTAAATATCCAATAAAACAACCCAAAAGACCAAAATGGAATAATATCGTTAATCTATGAGTTGAAATTTACGTACCCAAAATAAACCTGAAATTTTCAAATCAGAAAAGCTGCACACAATACAGAAACTCTGGCTATAAATTAGGGGCTTGGGTGATGGATAACCATCTGTTACCTGTTTTTATTAATTTTATCTCTGACCAAAAGATGTAATAGGTAGGTTATTGCTATGTCGTTACACTAACAAAAAGCAACATGATCACACATTTCCTTAAATATTATCTTTAATCAACAAACCGTAAAGAAAAATTCAAATGTTAGAAATAAACAAAAGTGCTCAGGGAAACTAAAATACAGTGTACGATATTGAGTGGTGTGATTGTCGCTTTGACAGATACCAAGTTGTGTATGTGTCTGACGAGCCCTTATCTACCCCATTTATAGGTAGGGTAAAACTTTGACAGCGACACAACAACGGCAACGATGGGGGCCGCCATCATGAAGAAACACAGAGCAGCACTTGTGATTTTTGTGCTTTTTCTTTGTGTTTTGAATGTATACGGGCAATCCACAACACCGCCCCCGGCACAGAAGCCTCAGCTGAATTCTAAAGACTATATCAAGATGATACAACAGGGTATACAGCTATTGAACAGCTCACTTTCTGCAAACGCTCTACAGCAACTGTCCAATTTCACATCGTTGCTGCCAGTGATGAACGCGCAAAATTTGATGAAAATTCTTCAAAGTTTAAATATAAATGTGCCAAACTCTTCACAAATTGGTGGCGCGCTCAAGTTTATTCAAGGAGCATTATCTGCAGGAACTTCCCAACAGAACAACGGCACTAACTTCAACCCTTTCGCAAAATCACAGAAATACTTGAACTTGATAAGCCCCGGATGTAAAGCTGCTTTGGGTGTTCTCGGCTCGCAGGTGATGCAGCAAAAACAATGGGCATTGCAAGGTTAGTTAATTAATAAATAATTAATTAATTAATTTATAGTTAATTGTTAAGTAGATTTACACATATACTTTATATATCTTAGACGAGATTGACATTATGTAGGCTGAAGTACCTGAAGAAATATACTGTATATAAATATTTATTTCTTAGTGAAAGGCACGTGTGCTATCCACTTCGCCACCCGACCACCCTGAGTTGTTATGTCCATGTATTACAAAGTGTCAAAACAAATCTAGATAACGACCCTACGATATTTACTCTCGTACGTATGTTATCATAACTCTACTTAAGTTACTTCAGTACAGTATGTTGTAGATAAGTATTTATACTATTTTATCTATTAATGTTAATATCTCGCCCTGTTGGCTTGACTGCAAAACAATTATCATATATAAATATTAGTATAGCTACTATTAGGAGTGTCATAATACGCGTGTGGTATATCACGATATATTTACATTCTGTGTTGCATTTGCCTATTTGTCGTTAGTAAACCAAATTGCATTATATGAGACTGTTTTATTGTATACTACAATTTACAGTGATACGGCCAGTGTAGGAATACAGCTGGTACAAGGTAAACACAGACATGGCCGCCCGATACTTTCGGTATCAATAGGCCTATAGTCGGGAAACATTCTTGGTTCGTTAGCATTAAGCAATATAGGTCATCGCAAAAAATTAAAGCAACTTGACAAATTAAGACAATATAAATTTGTTATAAAATGTGTAGGTACCACAAATTTATTGTAAGCGCCATTCCAGATATGAAATTACCAAGTTTGTCAACGTCATCACACAGGGGATTGGTTTCGACATTTTGAGTTATGCATAACATCAGTGAATAACCACAACACTAAAATTCAGCTTTTCTAAAACCTTGTAAAAGTCAAAGGTATCGACAAGGTTTTGGAATGTGTATAAATACCTTTTTAAGTGTTGTGGTTTTTCAGTGATGTCATACATTACTCAAAATCACGAAAACGAGCCCCTGTGAACGTCGTCTGCTAACGATGCTAATCTGACCGATTACACATGGAATCTATTTCAAACGAAATGTCCTTGGAATCGGCGTTATCACCTACTGAAAGGACCACTTTAATTAAACATTTCCGAGTATATATGCTTCTGAAAATAACGTAATATTCCAGTCGAAGGAAACAATCAAGTCAGTTCAGCGCCGCATCACTTCAAAATTCATGTAATCTATCAATGCGCAAAAAAACAGCTTTAATTTTAAACAAGCAGAACTATCCAATTATTAACAATTTTTCAACATATACACACTCATATGAAATAAATAATAAAGTTAAGTGTGTGTTCAAACCATTTTATGTGCGTGTGGTTTTCAATAATACGAGGGACTATATTATTTCTTTACGAAATGTCGGCTGTTCTGGGATTTGAATTTTCTGACGTCACTGATATGATAAGTGGGAAATTCAAACGTATTTTAGCTTCAGTTACTATACAAAACAAACTATATGCATGTAAATGTGAATATAAGCTTTGAACTGTTACCAGATGCAGTATACAGTCGATATGAATGCAATTTGGGTGACAGATAAATAGAACGTCGCCCGTTATGGCGACATGAATATTTATCTGTCACCCAAATTGCATTCAGATCGACTGTATACTGCATCTGGTAACAGTTCAATGCTTAAATAAAACACACAGAAAAAGAGTCATTAAGATAGGTTTATATGCAGTATATGACCTGTGGAGGAAGACCGGGTAAAAAAAATCACTGACTGTCATAGCAAAGTGTAGATGTTTGGTGTAGTTATAGACAGGTGGTTTCTTTGGTAAAAAGTGTTTGAAGCTACAGGCAGGTTGGTAATAGTAATAATAAAATATACACCATTCAAGCTAGAATAAGCCAGTCTAAAGCGCTTTACAATACACAGATATGCAATTAATACAATTAGCATATACATTAATCAAAACAATTTTGAGGATTGTCAGGAGCTGCCTTATCAGGCGCTAACTACGAGTCCTATGCCACCTAGCTAATATCTCACTGTGTGTATGCCAGTGTGGTGGAGACGTTTTGTGTTTCTGTTGTGGTAGTAACATTAAGGTAGCACCGAGGAAAAACCGGACTGGTGATATACAATTTCTATAGGTAAACGTTTTAAGAGAAAAATGCAGGTTCAACAGAGATTATTATTTCTGTTTAATGGATATTGTTGCATGAAATGAGAGCAATATCATATATAGCATAATACTAGAAAACCAGAGGTTCCGGTTCGGTCCTTAGCGGAGGCATTGCAAAAATAACGAATATATTTTACAGACAAAATACCACTATATTTAGCGTATTAAAACAAAAACTGTTGTTTTTAAATACACTTGGATGAAGCTGATAGTGCTCTGGAGAACTGCTTTTTTTTTGTTCACAGTGATTGACTCCTGGGGGAAGCCACACTCTGGTCTTTTACTCGGAAACACTCGCTTGCTCGGATCCTACGATCAGTGTTTAGCTATAGAGCCCGGGGTATACGAAGTAACCTACTGCGCAGCCAATGTTCCTGTCCCATCCGTAAGTATTCTAACCTTATTTGGAATGTGATTGATTCCGACACAAATATGTTTATGAAATAAGTTCTGTCAGAAGCATTTTCTGGATGATCCATGTAGCACGTATACCATTGTGTTAGTAATGTCAATCAACATTTTAAGACTAAAGGATGAGTGTCTTTAAGGCCTTTTTTGGGCCCCGGTATATCCTCTTTCATTTGTTCAAATATGTGTTGTACTACATGCTCGAAAACGAGAGCAAAGGTTTGACGGAAAGTGAGTTTTCGGGGTACCAAAAGGGATAAATCGTAAATATAATTGGCTGTTTTTCAAATGAGCAAAAACAACCGAAATGTTTAAAAAATTTGTAATTTAAACATGCATATATATAAGAACAAAAAATCAGTGAAATTCAAACGTCACTTTTAGATTGTTTATATAAAACGGAGAATGAAAAGGGTTTTGTGCTCTCAATAATTTACTTTCTAATTTACATTTTGAATTGCAATTTACATCTTTGCTCATTTGAGTACACTTACATAAAATGCATATTCACTACACACTTTTCTTTCTTTCTCTTTCTCTTTAATGCAGGACACCCTTTACATGCTATGAGTATAGGATATTGATAGTCAATATTTTATATCATATATATCATATGATATGTGCTTAACACCTGTGGCTGAGTTTCAGGTCCTGATTTGTTTTCTTATTTCTTTAAATAAACTTTCAAATGAAAAATGCCATTTGCTACCACAACTACAGTAAAATGATTTATTCAATATATGAAGTTTGATTTGCTGGTAATTTCAAGTGTCCTAGTTTCAAGGAAAGTATCTGTTTAATCTTTAAAGTCAACCCATTTCATAACTTTATTAATTGTTTGCCTATTTCAAATGTTTATGCGCCGATTGAACATATAAGGCATTTTGGGCATGCTATTACTTATATGATGATATTTCATCTGTGAAAGCTTTATACTTACCCCACAATGCCTTATTACTTAGAAAACACTTTATATGAATGTATGTAGATTAAACAGGCTCAGCAGAGAGTTTATAGTAGGAAATGGTGCTTATGACATGCTAGTCTGATATGTACTTTAGTCCTTGTATTCCAAAACACAAGAAAATGTGTTTTTTACGGGAACTGCTACATGTATCGCGTCCTCATTACACCGACGTCACACAGATTAATTTTGATTTGAAATGAAAGATATCAGGATGGATATTTTGTTAAATTTCATCCATTCGGTATGATTTGTGTATCTTCATATTTTCCTGACACGCATTTACCAAATGTTTTTCATATTCTTATATAAAGCAGCTAACAAATGTTGTTCATAAACTGCTCAACAAAAAACAAGATAAACACTATTCCATATATAGTTGTTTGTATATAAAGTACTCACGTGTGCATACTAATTATTTCTAGATCTATGAAGGCGCAAATGTACTGTTTGGAATGTGTCTTCCGAAGTTATGTACTGATGCAGACGTATACGTTATCGCTGATGCAAGTAGGTATACTTCCGGTTATCTTCTTCCTGGCTAATAAGTTAACAGCCAAGTTTATCTGCCAAACAGTTGCAGTGTATGCACGCCTGTAAAATATACGGACACAAAAGACAACATCATTTATCATTTTTATGATACGAATTGTAGCACACTATGGTAGTCTTAGTTGAAGCAATGATAAATTGTTATACATTGCCCACCCAACTAAACTGTTTAGGGTCAAATCATATATATGTATTAGTTAAATATATAAATAGCAACGTTATTTATTTTACCGCAATGGTGAACCAATATAGTATAACTTAAATCAAAATGTTTTGCTGGTCCGGATGTAAACGGGGGTTGTGGGGTTCGGGGTGTGGCCTTTAGTGTGGCAGGAAAACGATGTACCCGGAGAAAATCGGGGTCGGGCAGATGACCACACATCTTTTCGCGTCCAATCGGGGAATCGAGCCCTGGTCGCCCCGATGAAAGGTGAGTGCGTTGTCCATTGCGCCACCCAATAATTCAGTAATATTACTGAGAAGCATATTACAAATACTTAATAATTTGTACTATATCATAGCTTGATTTCTCACGCCGAAACGTTCAGCAGAGGTTTATTTTATTTTTTTCATCACAAAGACACCAGTTGTTCCTCTCTTCATTCACTATCAACCTTTTAGCCTTGTTGTGTTTCTATGTCATGTCTTAGGGCTTGACCGCTTCCTCGCGCTAAACTTAAAACAGTTTATTGAAATCTGAATGTCCTTTGTCTATTAATTAGGGATTTTTCTTTTTTGCCAAATGATTTTTTCGAAGTTATTTATTAGTAAGGAATGAGCAGTTCATGTGTTCCTATAAAATTGGAGAAAAATTACCATAACAAAGCCATATAAAATAAAAACTAATTATTATTAACTTAAATGTATTTTTATACATTCGCGAAGATTGAAATTATAATGTATGGATTCTTCAAATATTAGAGACCGCAAAAAATAAGCAGAACGCTCTAGAAAGAAAACGAAAAAAATCTGACCTATTTTATGACATTAGCGATTCGTGATCAAACTGATTCTAGAACGGGTTGGTATGTTCTACCTAGCAACCCAACAACGCCGCTATCTTTAAACATTGTGAAACATTAATATGTCTTTCGCAATGTGTTGGTGAGCTGATATATCACTATCAGACAACGCCACGGGGAAAATAGATAACAACTAAAGTCACATGAAATGTTTAGATAGGATGACCAAACAAAGTGTATTGCGAAATAATAGATATGTACCATTTTCAAACCTTTCCTACAAATTGATAAAATAATTATATGATAAAGAATTGCCTTATTAAATAATAATAATAAAAAATAAGCATTTAAAGTTCATCCCCGAAAGGATGGTATAACATTTTCTCCTTGGGTAGAAAAAGGCATAATTGACACGCTCTTTCGGAAATGGCGTCAGTGTCACTACCGGGGATCAAAGGACAAAGTTCAATCTCTGAGAAGGCAGTTAAAACAGATATCACATGTATATCTCCTGCGTATGCAAGATCAATGTAATCTCCCCCTACTTTGAGGGTATGACCTCATGAGCTCATGTCATAAATCTCCAACCCAAGCGATGATATTCTCGAATGTCTAACCCTCGGTATTTCTCCCATTCTGTTTCACTCACAAATCCGCAGACAAGTGGTAATTGCATGAAATTAAGCGTTGATTGCATGTTTTTCACCAAATCCAGAGTGGTCTTCCATGCTTCTGTTGACTTGTCGCCAATGCGTTGATGACGTGACGGCTATCTCCCCAAGGGTGTGGCAAGCTGATCTTTTCCAGCTTAAACGGGAGACACAAAGAATACTCCCGCCAAAGCAAAGTCGGCAACCCACACCACCTCACGCAATTAAATAAAATATTGTATTCTATTTTTCAATTAGGTGGTTTCCATTAACCTGCTCAGACTGTGAGCTTTCATTTACAATGACTGTGTGTGTGTATTTCCCTTTTGTCATTTTCAGCGCTTTTAGATATTAAGACGCTGCTCGATTAGTGATTAAACGGTTTTGGTTTCAAATAAATAATGCATTTACGATAGAAAGGCATGTACTTTTGCTAAGCTTCGTAGTGAGAATCAATCAGAAATAGTACAAGAGGAAACTCGAAGAAAATATTCTCATATAAGTCAACAACATCCCTGAGGAGAACGTACATCACATTTCGTACAATTTAAACCTGGAACAATCCTCCGGAGGACGTTGTCTCCGCGCCAAATATCTACACTTTTAAGAACAGAATATATCAAGTTTGACAGAAAGAAGAACTGTTTTATAATTATAGGATTCATGTAATTTACAAGGAACTTTTAACCTTATGTTATACAATTTATTACCAATTTTTTGAGTCCAGTGCAGAGGAGACCTTTCGGTTCCTGTATTGGAAACTGACTCAAACTTAACTTAACAGGTCGCGTGACTTTCTGAAGGCACAGAAGTCATTTTGGTTTTCGGAATACTGGATTTAAGGCGTAATACACATGAAAACACTCGACAAATACCATTAGTCATCAAGTTTTAACAAAATCTAACAGACTTTATTGCCCGAGAGGGTGCAGCCAATCGGAAGCCTATGCTAATTTATTGAATCCAGATAACACTATTCACCATGCTGCTCAAATTCAAATGTAGTATTTGGATAATTATATAATCATTCTGGCTGGCAAACTTTAAAGTTAATTCTAGTTTTCCAACCAGGTCCCGTATTACATTTATCAATTCACTTATTTTTTTCCCGTCTTGTAGATATATTAATGATATTAAAAGTTCACAAAGAAAACTAATACATTACGATTATTATAGGATGTGATTTAACAAAATTGCAGTGTTTATGTTTTAGAATGTAACTCCATTTCTATTGTGACAGTGCTTGCGTTAATTCCCATGAGTACACCACCAATTTCCAACTTCGCCGGATGCAAGAAAGATATTGAATATGACACACGAGCTATCATAGCTATGTAAGAAGTGTTATCACTTTCCCTTTTTTTGGATTACTATACTCAGAAGATAAAATTAATTCAAATTATTGTTGATGTATCATTTGTGTAACTAGAACAAATTAAAAAATAATATAATGTGTATATCAGTGGTGTTTAATGGATAGGCAAATGCAACAGAAGAAAATACAATGTAAATCCTGTGTGGAGAAGATTTTTTTTTTTTTTTAAAGTCATTTTCGAGTATTTAGTTTACAATATAAGATCAGAACCAGGTATGACACGGTGATTATTGTATAACGTAAGCATTACAATTTGTTGGTGGATTTAGCAAAATATGACATCTAATATTTCAGATGTGTGTGCTGTTTCTTCCTCGCTCTGATGATATTTGCCACTATATTTGACGTGTTGTTCGTGTGTCCTGAACTGAAAAGATTAGCTAAGCCACCTGTTGTAGAGGCAGAGGACGTTGTCAGTAAAACAAAGAACGGGTTATCTCACATCCCGCCAAGGGAGAATGGAGCCAGTCCCCAGGATGTGGAGATTGAATTCGCCAATGTGAAAGGACCAATTCAAACAAACGGAACCCATGCAGGATCAATGTACAAACTCCATGACGAACCTGTCCAAACAAATATAAAAGTGCCGTCTAACTATCCTGGTAATCCTTTATAAGTAATCTTTAACAGTATGTTAAAAGTATCTATCACTCTATTTATATGTCATTGTGATACTTCAGGTTTCCTCGGTATTCATTAAACAGCTTTTTATTCATATGTCTGTGATATTAACTTGATCAGGGGTACAAATATACTATGACACTGACCACTACAGATAAAAATAATAACATATTTAGATTACTCTAACACCCTTCCTCACAGTTCTATACATCTTACCAAACAGACGAAACTCGTTCTTGGTCTTATTATGAGAAACATCTTTTAGAAGGAAGACTCAAATGTATAGGATTGAAATATTTTGGAGCATTAATGTTTTGCGTAAAAAATGAGACAAACTTCAAAAAAGCTTATGTCGAGAAAAAAGTCATATTTATGATTGAATTTCCGGTTGACCATATTTTTGTCTAGTTCAGTGGCAAACAGTACCCAAAGGAACGAGTTGTCCTCCTCTCTGGACCAACTTGTTTTTGTTTTCATATGAGGTTAATTTATCAAAGTGTTAATAAGATTACGTAGCAAAGACAGTACCATTTTTTCTTTTATTTAAAAATAAATCTACTATGTGATGTCTCTTAACAACAAGATAGCTGTTGACTAAGTCGATCGTGAATACGTTTTCTTTAACTTTTAGAGTTAGAGTTTCCTAACACTATTTCTCAGGAAGTACTGGAAGATTCTTTCTAACATTTTAGTTGAATGTTACCAATTGTTCCTAGTTATAAAAATTGAATTTCAGGACTGATATGAAAAAACAAGATGGCAAACAGGCGGCCATATAGTCAAAGTTTATTGGCGCCATTTCTCTAAGAGTACTAGATATATATATTTCTCAAATTAATCGCATAATCTCAATTGTCCGTCAGTAAGCATATATTCTCTGAGACTGACTGGAAAGACAGGATGGCCACCAGAAAACTTTACCAAACTTTGCCAGTGGCAGGTTTTTCTCACTAATTCTCAGAAAGTACTAGATATATATTAATCATTAATTTTAATACTTAAATTTTGCAGGTCCTAAGTTTTGCATGTTTCATTTTGATGCTGATTGAAACGACAAAATGGCATTCAGACAGTCATGTTGACATTCGATAATTCTAGTTTGTTTTCACTATTTACCAAATAAGTACTCGGCAAATTTCAAAATGAGGTTCACCTTGTTTCAATTTGAGTTCTGTGTTATCAGAAAGGTCAAATGACAATTCCATTTGCAAACACAGCAGAATGAAGCTTTGATCAAAAGCTACCACATATACGTTTTACATAACTGAATCCAACAGATAGGAAAAGTAAGAATCAATCTTACATAGAACCCATGGAAAAGGTTGAATGTTGGTCCCAAAGCACCCTCATTTAAAGTTTTTTTAATCCGAAATATTTATATGAACATGAACGTGTATAAATACATTTGGTGTTTTGTTTTTACGTCAGGATTATGTGCAAAATTGGTTTTGTCCTTTTCTGTGTGGACCAATGGGAGGAAGCTGCTTAGTACAGAACAAGCTGGGGGAGCACTTGGAGCTATCAACGGTATCCGGTTTCTCAGCATGACATGGGTCATCCTAGGACACACTTACGGATTCGTTGTGGCTTCCTCGAACATTGGTAGGTCTGTTTTATCACTAGATATCGACTTAAAGAGATTTTCCGTCTATTGCCACATTTTTGATCACAAAAAACAAATACTTTTAATGTACCGGTCCTAGTGCTGATTGCAGTATTTTCCAAAAAAACACCTAGAAGGTTTCGTTTTTGTATGACGACATTTACCGATGTTTCTATCAAACCTTTTCCTGCTTATCAAATTTCATCCACTGAAGGGGAAAGTAATTGTTGCTCAACTCCCTACGTCCTTTGTTCGGTTACGATTTTATAACTGTAAGCTTAACGGGAACTCTTGCTTAAAACCGAATACTGAATTCTTAAAAGCGTTATCAAGGAAAATTCAGTTACAGACCTGTAATCCTAAATTACAGTTGTGTGACCGCACAACGCACCAAAAATAGCGTGTGCACACCGTGCATACATCGTTCACACACCGTCCGCATATCGTCCACACATGGTGCGCACAACTGTGCGATTTAGCAATCGTTCGCACTGTTGTGCGCCTCTCTCCGCACAACTGTGCGATTTGGTATCATTTGTAGTTCAAAATTATGGAATGACAAAAATACGGAAGGTGTATATATCTGTGATTTCTCATCACAATAATCAAGATTTTACAATTTCACAATGCGTGTTACACAGTATTACAGCGACCGCAACCGATGTGCATTTTGTACGATATTGCAGACATTGGTCTTGTTTTCGTTGTAATAAAAGTGTTTTTTATTTTATTTTTTATTTTGCACACAAATTTACAATGACATTATCAAATCTCACAATGCCCAGCGATATTTCAGCAGCCGTCATGTTTATTTACATTGGATATTGTAGTTCCGGTCAGTGTTGTAATTAATACGCTAAGAATTGTGTCTCGTGCGGCATGGGAATTAAAGTCCCATCAACGACACAGCTTTCAAAGAGGCTATATAGTGACAATGCCATGCAAATGTAAATATATATATATATGATATATATATCCCCGACTAAGACTGAGAACTAGTGTTGTTGCTAGACTTGTACAAGTCCCTATCTTAAGAATTATGGTCTATTATATATTATCGCAAAATACACACTTGTTTGTTACTTATACAGCACAAACGCATTGACTGTTTTAAATTTACAAATAACATCAATACATTGGTGACTCGTGTCATTAATAGATTTTGCATTATTTTCATTTTTTAATTAAGTAATACGTATACACTGCCACCAACATTAACCCGTATGGTGCCCCACACTGCATACACAAAATCAAGTATGTGACCAGCTTAACAGTAACATATTTTGTACCGATAACCATCCGATAGTTAGCAGTACCATATATCACTGTAAACCACTCAACAACCGGGTAACGTGTGGTAATCGTCGTTGTACGCGTATTATACTCACTACTTGTGTTGTTAGGTTATGTGACCTACTTACCTGTCAATGTCAAGTACCGGATATGGAAAGTCGGAATCGGGCGTTATTTTGTCTGTTCCTAGATGTGTGTGCTGAATTTCTGTGCAACCCTCTTGGTTTGCCTCATTTTTAAGGTCTTTGGTTACTTTGCCGTCTCCGTCTCGAAGGACTACAATTCGCTTTGCATAACTTCACCATGTTATATGTTCTACTCGTACGAGACTTAATATATGCAATACAAACGGGACGTATAATTAAAATTAGAGTATTATACGCAATTATTAAATATGTTAGCAGACACTTTTAATAAGTGCTATTAAGAGGAAGTGTAAGTTTTGTGACATATTTTCTGGAAATGACACTTTTTATGATATTTTTAACATTGAATTTTACCAATATAGTCCCTTTAATATAGCATCTCAAAGCCGTTTGTAAATATCATATAAATGGTAATCATTATGGTTAACGCATGTATAATACATTTCGTCTGTAAGAATAGAAAGATGTATGGGTGTCACACTTGTACCGTTTCAGATAAAGCGTTATCACTTACGGCGTGTATATCCTTTTATTACTGTGGTGTTTGGGTTCTTTTGCAATAGATGACGAATACCATATATCTTTGATTTAGTGGGTATTTATTTCCCCGTAACAATTTTAAAACACACATGAGACAATATACAGAAACGAACTCGCCTAACAATACATTTACATATGGACAATTCACGTTGTAACGTACGATACTTTAAAAGACGTAAGGTTTATAAAACAATTATTTAAAGAAGCCTAGAAAACTATATATGAATATGGTTCACATAATACTTATAATACCAGTAAACTACACCGAAGTATAAAATCAGTGTTCAATAAGGAAAGTGTTCACTTAGTCAATAACCACACCCATAATTATATATGAGCAATTTACGGCAAGTTATAGCATTCCCAATAAATATAAATTATGGAGCATTAATATTTATCAGCATAAATATTAAGTTTAGCAATAGCTTATATATTTTATTTGACCAATAGCTTACCCTGTATGTGGTACCGGGGATCCACTAGTATACTCTGCAAGGTATGTATATTTCGTAAGTATGTATATATGGCGATGTTGCCTCTACCAGGAGCAGGTAGGAAGTGAATAGAAAAGAAAGGACAGAGAAGCAAATAAAACATTGAAGCGGGAAATATCACGCAATGCGACAGGTGTCAGAGGTCAGTTTGTCACTGGTCAAACAGGTATACAACATTCACAATTACGTCACACCCTCATACATTTCATTCAAAACGAAAGTAACACACGAGACTAGCCGACAGCGATTGCGGATGCGGAGCGCGGATTACGGATTAAAATCAACGACACATTATTATACAAAGTAATCCTAATTAGACTTAATATATTTTAGTGAATCTTTAGGAATATAAAGAATTAAAATAAATTAACAAATCTAACCGGGTGCCACATTACTGTTTAATTTCATTTCTTTGACGTAGCATTAAACTCCTGTTGCTATCAATTTAAATTATTGCAATTTTATCTCGTTTAAATCATGTATGTTTTCGAAAAATATAACACAAACGATAGTTAAGAGTATTTGCTTAATGATTTACAAAGACTATTGACATAAGAGGAAACTGTTCTATATATAAATACTAACACTAAACTTAATATGGTTTGATTCTAGAGAACATGACATCGTTCTACAACCAGATGCTGAAGCGGCGAAGTTTCATGGCTATAGCCAATGCCCTCCTGTCAGTGGATACCTTCTTTGCCTTGAGGTAAGATGGCAAATATCACATTACTACACATTTAAGGACCCCTGTACCACCGCCAAAACCTGTAACTAAGTATTGGAAACTGTGTATTCCGGCATCACCATAAATTTAATAAATCCTTTTCGAACAAAAACTCATTTTCTGTGGAAAAATAATAAAAATACTTATTTGTACATGTTATATAAACAGCAGTGTTTTAATGTCAAAACACAGCGAAACTAACCCAGGATTGGAACCCTTGAGTTAGATTGTTACTTAAGCGCTCTAACCGATGGAGCTACCTGGTCAACTGACGTTTCCTGCTTCAACTGACAAACATTTACATGTATATCCAAAACGAAATTGATGGGGGATCACTGTGTTTACAAAAATAACCCATACTACAGTGGAACTGGGTTTCCTAAGGAGCAATCTATCAATTAATATATGCACGTGTAATCAAACCGCACCTTTGTATTCCCCGGTTGTTATTTGTAATTGAAAGTAAATGATATTACCAGTCACAACATAATAATGATGTTTGATCCTTTTGCTATAATTTCAATGTGTTTTATATTGTCAAAAGAAAGCATATGTCTATCAGATAAAGAAATTACAATTTCACGTCAATGTTTCCTAGTGCACTTTTGTATTTGACTTCTTCATAAACAATCACAATCAGTACGCTAGACATGTGCCGATGAACCATATATAATTGATTTAACAAGTGCCGATGAACCATATATAATTGATATAACATGTGCCGATGAACCATACATGTATATAATTGATATAACATGTGCCAATGAACCAAATATTATTGATATAACATGTGCCAAGGGACCATATATGATTAATATAACATGTGCCAATGAACCATATATAATTGATATAACATGTGCCAATGAACCATATATGATTAATATAACATGTGCCAATGAACCATATATAATTGATATAACATGTGCCAATGAACCATATATAATTGATATAACATGTGCCAATGAACCATATATAATTGATATAACATGTGCCAATGAACCAAATATAATTAATATAACATGTGGCAATGAACCATATATAATTGATATAACATGTGCCGATGAACCATATATTATTGATATAACATGTGCCAATGAACCATATACAATTGATATAACATGTTTCAATGAACCATATATTATTGATATAACATGTGCATTAGCAGGCAATTCAGTTTAGAAATCAAAAACAGACTAAGTTAACTTGTCATACTTTCAATTATTTCGTTTTAAAAAATATATTATTGAAAGTTAATGTTTTGATCATTTTTCAGTGGTCTCCTAGTATCCTACGTGTTCATGAAGGAGATGAAGAGAGAGAAGGGTCGTATTAACTGGTTCATGTTCTACTTTCATAGGTTCTGGAGGTGAGTTACCACATACTATGGATAATTGATAATACTTTCATAAGGGTTGGTAAAAATAATTGGGCAACGTTTAGGATCGCAATGGGAATATTGTGATATTTAAGTGGATGGATTTGCCTGATTATGTAGTTCCTTAAGCACTTGAATCAAGGCTCACTATCTCCCCAGATTCAATTTAGCCGAAATATTAACGAATTTGATATTTATGTACGGTTTAGTTCACATTTCAATGTTCTTTTTAACCACAGCGTCAATACATCAGGACAACATGTTCCATAGCGTCAATACTCAATAGGTAAATGTACAACAGCGTCAATACATAAGAACACAAATATACCACAGCAATAATACACAGTGACAAAATGCACATGCACAAAAGACATCACTGCGTCACAATAAGCTATGGCGAACAGTACAATAGCACTAGTACGTCAGGTTAAAAAAACAAAATATACCCCAGTGTCAGTACACAAAGACAAAAATATACTACAGCTTTGATACAGAGGGACAAAACATAGTACAACTTTGATACAGAGGGACAAAACATAGTACAACCTTGAAACAAAGGGAGAAAACATACTACAGCTTTGATACAAGGGGACAAAATGTACTACAGCTTCGAAACAGAGGGACAAATAATACTACAGCTTTGATACAGAGAGACAAAACATAGTACATTTTTGATACAGAGAGACAAAACATACTACAGCTTTGATACAGAGGGCAAAAACATATTACAGCTTTGATACAGAGGGCAAACACATAGTTCAGCTTTGATACAGAGGGACAAAACGTACTACAGCTTTGATACGATAGGACAAAATCATACCACAGCTTTGATACAGAGAGACAAAATATACTACAGCTTTGATACAGAGGGACACATAATACTACAGCTTTGATACAGAAGGCAAAAACATAGTACAGCTTTGATACAGAGGGCAAAACATAGTACAGCTTTGATACAGAGGGAAAAAATATACTACAGCTTTGATAAAAGGGGACAAAATGTACTACGGGTTTGATACAGAGGGACAAAATGTACTACGGGTTTGATACAGAGGGACAAAATGTACTACGGGTTTGATACAGAGGGCAAAAACATAGTACAGCTTTGATACAGAGGGACAAAACATACTACAGCTTTGATACATAGGGTATACAAATAGTACAGCTTTGATACAGAGGGACAAAACCTATTACAGCATCGATACAGAGGGATAAAACATAGTACATTTTTGATACAGAGGGACAAAATGTACTACGGGTTTGATATAGAGGACAAAAACATAGTAGAGGTTTGATACAGAGGACAAAAACATAGTACAGCTTTGATACAGAGAGACAAAATATACTACAGCTTTGATACAGAAGGACAAAATCCTTCTACAGCTTTGATACAGAGGGACAAAATCATACTACAGCTTTGATACAGCGGGCAAAAACATCGTACAGCTTTGATCAGAGGGCAAAAACACAGTACAGCTTTGATACAGAGGGACAAAATGTACTACGGGTTAGATACAGAAGGACAAAACAAACTACAGCTTTGAAATAGAAGGACAAAACATACTACAGCTTTGATACAGAGGAACAAAATATACTATAGCTTTGATACAAAAGGACAAAAATAAACTACAGCTTTGAAATAGAGGACCAAAACATACTACAGCTTTGATACATAGTGACAAAACATACTAGAGCTTTGAAACAGAGGGCCAAAACATACTAGAGCTTTGAAACAGAGGGACAAAACATACTAGAGCTTTGAAACAGAGGGCCAAAACATACTAGAGCTTTGAAACAGAGGGACAAAACATACTAGAGCTTTGAAACAGAGGGACAAAACATACTAGAGCTTTGAAACAGAGGGCCAAAACATACTAGAGCTTTGAAACAGAGGGACAAAACATACTAGAGCTTTGAAACAGAGGGACAAAACATACTAGAGCTTTGAAACAGAGGGCCAAAACATACTAGAGCTTTGAAACAGAGGGACAAAACATACTACAGCTTTGAAACAGAGGGACAAAACATACTAGAGCTTTGAAACAGAGGGCCAAAACATACTAGAGCTTTGAAACAGAGGGCCAAAACATACTACAGCTTTAATACAGAGGGCCAACACGTACTACAGCTTTGAAACAGAGGGACAAAACATACTACAGCTTTGAAACAGAGGGACAAAACAAAGTACAGCTTTGATACAGAGGGACAAAGCATACTACAGCTTTGATACAGAGCGACAAATCATACTACAGCTTTGAAACAGAGGCCAAAACAAAATACTGCTTTGAAACAGAGGGAAAAACACACTACAGCTTTGATACAGAGGGACAAAATATACCACAGTGTCAAAATACAAAAGGTAAAATACAACACAGCGTCAAAATCCGCAATGATAATATACAAACGCGTCTATAGATAATGAAAATATTCATTACTTGTATATATTACAGTTTCAATACAAATACAGACCGACGTCATATACAACAATGTCAATAAACAATGTCAAAAACCAAATATGCCAAATATGCAATACCCATGGACAAAAATATAAAATTGTTTTTAGGACAAAATACTCCACAGCGTCTAAACACGTCGTGATGAAATATACAACAGCGTCAGTACACAATGTTAAAACAAAATATGTCACAGCGTCAGCATACATGGACGATGATTGACTATACATGTAGCTTTAAAACACACAAAAATATACTACACCGTCAATACACAAGGCCAAAAATAACCACAGCCTCGATACGCAAGGTAAAATTCAAAATCACATTCTTAACTTAAGATAAGAACAGAATGGTAACTTCATATACTGGAACTTTTTGGTATACATTTCCTTCGGTACATTTAAGAGTTTGATTTTTCATTGGAAATTAAAGTAATCTTTGTGTCTACTTTTTATTAAATGAAACATGGCGTAACAAGACTGTGTACCATTTTAAATGTGTCCCTCAAATCAATGCAATGTCCTGAAATAGAAGACCCTCGAAAAAAATTCCTTGATTTTACATTTGATCCGCATTAGTCGCATCTTACAATATCAATATGAATTTGAATACAGCTGGTTGATTACTAAAGCTTCGNCCCCCCCCCCCCCCCCCCGTAGCTGCTAGGATGACAAATATCATCAAATTGCGAATCGAATGAATTAGAGGCCAACTTTTAAAAAACCCACAATGAATCGCTAACATTAGCATATGTATTGAAAATATTAATTTTACTCAGGATAATGAATTTAAACGAGTTGCGATTTGGTATAAAGATCAATTAAGAAAATGATACTTTTATTAGTTTATATGTTTTGACTAACTACAACAGTAGGTAAATATTCGATCTATTGTCACAATTTTAACAGCTGTATAGCTATATAAAAGCAAAAGTATAAGGAAAGCATATTAAAATAGAAAGAAAGATATTCCACCAGAACTTCATTGCGCTTTTCATGTTCGGAATAACGTGAAAAGCAGTTTTATTCATATTGAGACTACTGTATTTGGCAAGGACGGTCGTTATGTTATTTTCTCTATATAGATTGACACCACCTTACATGTTAGTGATGATGATGGACATTGCTCTATTCCGTTACGTTGGCGATGGACCTACTTGGAATCCGAATGGAATCGAAAATGACTTCTGTAAAGAAACCTGGTGGACCAATCTTGCTTATGTGAACAATGTTGTCAAAGATGACAAAATGGTAAGTTAAATAGCACTAAAAGCTAATGATAATATTAGCTATAAACATTATAGTAATAAAGCGTCAATAAAACGGAGGGTGGTCGGGTGACGCAGTGGAAAGAGCACTTGCTTTTCATCAAGCCGCCCAGGGTTCGATTACCCGATCGAACGTGAAAGGGTATGGAGTCAGCTGCACGACCTTCTCCGGGTATTCCGAATTCCTTCTACAGTAAGACAATTTAATTCAATAAGTATGAACTCAATCCCGTATAATAAGCTCATATTTCATTGTACATGTATACATGCACTTGTATAGTGGTGTGATTGGTCTATGTAATTAGTCAAACCATCATAAATCAATTTTACATATACTAATACCAATGTGTATATACCTACACTATTTCTAATTTTACCATAGTATTTGGCCTTTAACCTGATACAATTTTTCTCGCACCCCTGACAGCGATATCCTACGTGATACCCCAAAACTTGATTTTGTCTATCTCATCTGGTCTGTGTTTCACATATCCGCTACATTTCGCGGAATGTTCACATAACGATGTATTCATCCGCGTGGTTACCTAAGTGATACAATCCGCGTTATCAATACTATGTTTTGTCGTTATATATATTGTTTTGATGTTGTTAGATTCCTAATGTTGTAGATGAAATACTATCTACACTACATTGTTTACGCAAAAGTATGTTAATGTGGCCTTAGCAGTGAGGAGGCCATATTTATTTGTGTCCCCGGATAGTATACTCGTAGACTACAGCGAAATTAAAAAAAATAATCGAATTAAAAGGTGCGAGAAAAAAACAGTTATTTGCAACTGAACGAGGTCTTGTTATCTAGACCCTCGACTGAGATAATTAGCTCAGTTACAGGTAATGTATTTATCACAGTATAACTGCAGTACTTGCCTAATCAATGTATTTCGCCAATAATTGTACTATCTAATGTACCAACAGTGTTTTGCCTGGTCCTGGTATCTGGCCAATGATATGCAGTTTTACGTCATCAGTCCTCTTCTGCTAGTTCCACTTTACTTGTGAGTATTTATCAAACATTAAACAAATATCGCAGTGTTCAATGTGTCTTTATATACATGAAATTTGTATCAAAAATTGACATGCACTGTTTACGAATCACATAACTGTGTGTTTTTATAGAGTTTAATTTTTCTTAAAATTATTCTTTGATAATAATATATTGTAGATAATTTGTTTATGCTGTTAAAGTCGAGCACTTTCTCTTAATATACTGTATACCAAGCCTTTATTTCCCCAAAAGAGCGAAATTATCATGAGAGCAAATATAAGTACGCATCATACAATACATATGCACGTATTATGCACGTGAACCAAGCACGGGGTATTATGCACGTGAACCATGCCTCCCATGCAATTTCCAAAATTCAGTATGGCCAAGCTTCAAATTTGGGTATTTAAGTCCGGCGTTTTGAAAAAAAAAAATATTTTCTGTGAACATGGTACGAAGACGAATATCGGAGGCCCAAAGATGGCAAATTATGCGGTCAACAGGGATGTCCTTTAAAGCTATTGGACGTCAGATGGGCTATCATTATACTGTAGTCAGCCGGCTTGTGAGAAAACACATCCAAACCGACTCCGACAAAGACTTGCCAAGATCCGGTAGACAACCTGTAACATCGCAGCGTGAAGACAGGACACTGGAACGCCTAATTAGACGAAAACCATTTCCAACTAGTTCTGTTCTATAAAGATAATGGTTACCTTATAGATGTCTATCAAACAGAACAGTGAGGAACCGGTTGAAATCAGCAGGACTGAAGTCAAGAAGGGTAATTAGACGTCCCATGTTAACTGATCGACATCAAAGATTGCGTTTGGCATGGTTTATAGCGCGACAAGGTTGGAACCTGAGGATCTTGAGCAAGATACATTGGTCGGACGAGAGCCAGTTTCTGCTGCATGTAACAGATGGACGAATGAAAAATTAGAGACAGAAAAATACAGCATATACCCCAAGGAACATCAAACCAAATGTCCCTTACGATGGAGGCTTTGTAATGATATGGGGTGCATCTCTCATGATTGCAAGTTGGACTTGGTGACCATACGAGGAAACCTGAATTGTGATCAGTTCTTCAGCCAGTTGTTGTCTCCCATTTTGATAACCATTCATTAGCTGCAAGACCTGTGTTTATGGATGACAACGCCAGGCCGCATCGTTCAAGGGCCGTAACCGCCTAACTTCAAGGCGAAGCAGTGACTTCTCTTCCATGGCCAGCCATGAGCCTGGATTTGAATCCGATAGAGCATGTTTGGGACATGCTAGGCCGTCGTGTACAGGCAGTCGAACCTCCTGTACAAAACTTACGTCAGTTGGAAGCAGCATTGCATCGGGAATGGCGACAGCTACCACAGCAGGAAATCCGACGACTGACTGGAGGGATGAGACGCAGGGTTGAGGCCGGCATCCAAGCACGTGATTGTTTTACTCGATATTAAACTCTGAACCATGGATGTCGTTAAGTGACGTTTCCTAAGTGAAATGACAGTCTTATAGGGCATTACCACATAAGAAGGTCAATACTTAAAATGGACATGTTTTAGTGTAATAACTGGGCTTGTGGTTTTTTGAAAATCTATTCATTAAATTATCATTTCATTTCTGTTGATATTTGTTGTGTTTTCCTTAAAGCTAATGTAACAGGCTGCATTTGTATTTTTGCGATTATTTGTTCTGTTACAATGTATCTCATGACATTTATCATATCATATGTCATTTCAAAAAAACCCGTTAGGGTGCTTAACTTTTTCTTTGTGTATAGTTATTGCATGTGAAGGGGGAAATTTACACTAGTCGAAATTGGGTTTTATTTGCAAAGGACGAATATATGACTTAGCGAAAGTTTACAGAAAACCGGACATTAAACTCAACACATAATTCATTAATTCTCATTATACAGCTGTACAAGTGTTCATACATGTATTAAAGATGTGTATCGATTTATTTGTTTATGAGTTTAGTAATTAATTTAATGTCAATAAACCATTTCGGGTTTACCAAATAAATGGTATCAAGTAAGATGTTCTTGATATCTTTTCGTGGGACCTAATAAATAGCTATCTCCCAACCATTTGATATAATATATTTCTTATAATGGGTATAACATTGTTAAATTTTTCAGCTCGAAAAAGATCGGAGGATTCGTCAGCATGCTATTTTTGATTGGAGTAACAATAGTTAGCGCCGTGATTTCTGTCCATTTTGAACTTCCATCGGTGCAGTTCTCCTTAAAACCCAACCCGTAAGTTTTGTTGAAGCGAATATTCGAAAGATGCTTGTTTAATCTTGTGTTGTCTGTGATCTTATTATTGTACTCTTTTTATTTTTCCAACGGTTTTTGTAACACTTTCTTTGTTAATATTTCGATATAATTTTTCATCGTTGTTTCTTTGAATTATCTTTCCATATATCATTGGGTTTGTTTTAATGTAAAGATTATTTTTTCCCCCTTCTTAAAAATTACCGGAAGATCATGTTTTCTGTAGGCGATTCCTACCTGACATATATCAAACAGGAAAAGAAACAGATTTATAATAATCTGATTTATAGTCCGTGGAGCCTTGTGAGAAAACACATATTTTTCTACTTAAGAAATGAGCATATTCTCTAATTTCAGTCACGCTGCCGACTACTTCCCTAATTACTACATCAAACCCTACTGTCGCATGGGTCCCTACATCATTGGAATTATAGCGGGCTATATCCTGTACAGGACTGGAGGCAAATACAAAATCAAAACGGTACGTGGATCACTTAGTGCTAAAACTATTAAATAACTTCACATAGAAATTATTGGAAATAGAAGAAGAAATCTAATTAAAAATAAAAAATACATGTTGATTTTGCTGCACCCTATACTGCATGACACAAAATGTTCTTGGGTGCTTTCCTTCGTGGTTTGAAGCTATTATTTAGATCGTTTCGTGTTACAAACTTTCGTGTATATTCTATATTAACAAACAGTAGACCCGTATTTAATTCAAATTCGTTTTATTTATTTTCGTGGTTCAATAGTTACCACGAAAACCACGAATGTTTATACACAACGAGCATTTCATTCTATACAGTAGTAATTCTGTCCATAGTGAACAACTCAGTGGTAATAAAGGACGAAAGAATAAATATCTGTTCCTAAGGGTCATAACTAATATTGTAATATACGCTAACAAACCGGATTGACATAGAAACATATAATTTGTTTCTATTCCAGCCATTGAACCTTTTCATCTGGGCATTTATGACCACCCTGGGCTGTTTAGTGGTGTATGGTACCTACGAGGAGACTAATGGTAACGCCATGAGTGTTGGCGTCGCGGCCCTTTACAACGCTGTTCACAAAACTCTTTGGGGCGTGTGTGTCTGCTGGGTCGTGTTCGCGTGCGTCACTGGAAACGGAGGTAACGTTTCCTAACTGGAAAATTATTTTGAATATTTATATTTGGGAGGGACGAATAATACGTGAAAAGCGTAATTAAAAAAAAACCATTATTTAAATGAAGAACGTAAGTGCTAAAGCAATAGTAATTTACGTATCAAACGACGTTTGATTGACTATTACCGATACAATGTGGTAGACTACTGGTGGATCTTTTAGTCCCCGAGGTGTGTTGTAACCTTGATGACCACCGTAGTCTTTTTGAGTATTGACAAGGTTCATAATATAAACACTTAACAGATAATTTAACTTGTAATTCATTTTACTTCTCAAACATTACTAAGTTTATAAATTGAAATTACTAAATTTATAAATTTACGGGTTTCACGCACCTGTCCCACTGTTTCAACAGACCATATGGAATTCCAACTGTTTTGCTCCTGACATCACCGATACGTCCTACAAAGGTTCAGTCACCTGTGTGTGTTACGTCTACCAAAACGTGGAGTTACCGAGTATTTGTTAACTTTTTTATAATTATTATTATATTAATACGTTGGTTAAGGCATAGAAATCATCAGGGCAATAAGATAATAAAATGGCTAAAATGGTAAATCCGTTCAGCAATCCTCATATAATTAATCTTACTGTCTTGGCTACAATAGTATGTCAATATACTACCCATGCTATTTTCAGATATAAACGTTATGAAAAAATCCATATTTGTGCCATTTTTATCAGTTTAACAACCATATTCTGTTTCGTTATTTTGGTATCGTTTTTGAAGAAGGGATATATATGCATATCCATGTATAAATTGTATTGACCCGTTAAATAACAATGTGTCGAAAGATTTGATCTCACATCACAGGCACATGTATCCAGTAAAACCCCGTTAACTCGCAATCAAGGTTTATAAATAATAATAAGATTACATTATATTTGACGAATTTAGGGTAATCTGGATATCGTCATATATCGATCCGGCGGATGGCACAATACATGTAGCTCATATCTCGGATAGTAGATAAGAGAAGTGAAACAGAAGTTTAACACAAATGATCACATGTAATGAGTAATTAAACTTTCCAGCAATGAACATAAAGTAATTTATTCGAAAATGTATCTTTTAATAATAATAATAATATACAACATTTATAGCGCCCTATATAATTTGTAAAATTACTCTAAAGCGTGATTTAACGTATGTCTGTAAAACTATTTTTGATTACGTTTCTTTTAAGGGACAAACAAGACCTGTTCGATGTTTCTTCAGTGAAGTAAATGATGATTTCATGATATTAAAACTTTGATTACAACTAATCAGCAATCAGAGTTTTTTAGAGAAAACAAATCGATTAAGATGGTCGAAAATAGCCTAACGAAAATATGGCTTTACACATTTAGGAAATTAACACTTCCCTTAAAACAAAGTATGGAAATAGTAATACCCACACAAATTAAACTACAATAGGAATTCGGTACATGTACACTAAGATACTTTTGTCAATCCTGTAATTATCTCAAAACACAATGCGCTGACAGATTTTAGTGTATCAAGGCATGCCGATGACACACAGAAGGTGTGACACCCTTGCATGACCACACGTTCGACAAATTGAAAGAATAGACGCAACGAACTTAAGCAATCGGATATAACTAGAGTGAGTTAGAGAAATACAAGGCATCTATTTTGACGAAAGGGATATAAGGAAATAGTTTGTACTTGAGTGCAACTGTAAAATAAAATAGCATAATGATGAAAACGTTTTCTGCATTATGTGCTTTTTATACTTATGTGCAAACGATATGAACTTAATTGAACAGTTTTTGTCATAATGTGATGTTTTGCTATTATGTCCATTGAGAAGTTTTGATCACTTAAGTAGTTTTGGTTGTTAATAAAAAAAACTAAACAAAAAAAATCGACCGCCCATAAATTGCTGTAACGAGGATACTGAACACAAATATGTAAGAATATGTTTGGAACCTATAAAGTTCAATGAAGCTGGATTCTACAGTACTTTGTAATATGAGGTCATGATGAATCTTCAATCTAACACATATTTAACACATCTAACTGCCATTTCAGGATACATTAACACTATTTTGTCCTGGAGTCCGTTCGTCCCCCTCGGACGTCTGACGTACTGTGCCTACCTCGTCCATCCACTGGTCATGTACGCATATTACAGTTCGCTAAGACAAGGGATATATGGGACAGATTTTAACATTGTAAGTACATTTTACATGTCGCTAAGACNTCGCTAAGACAAGGGATATATGGGACGGATTTTAACATTGTAAGTACAAATAACAGGTCGCTAAGACAAGGGATATATGGGACGGATTTCAACATTGTAAGTACATATTACAGTTCGCTAAGACAAGGGATATATGGGACGGATTTTAACATTGTAAGTACAAATTACAGGTCGCTAAGACAAGGGATATATGGGACGGATTTCAACATTGTAAGTACATATTACAGTTCGCTAAGACAGGGGATATATGGGACAGATTTTAACATTGTAAGTACATATTACATGTCGCTAAGACAAGGGATATAGGGGACGGATTTTAACATTGTAAGTACATATTTCTTTTAAATGAAGCAATTCGTCGCCGTAAGAATTATTCGCTTTGTGTTTCAGTTATAGAAACTTAAAGTATCATGACTAATTAAACTCAATGAGCAATACGGAGCAATACGGTTAATTGTAATAAAAATACATAAAATGTATTCAATATTCGTCTTTTGGGGTGCTGAAGCTACATGCGCGTATTTATTGCGTAATTTGCATATAGATATGTCTAAAGTATATCATGGATTCATTCCACTGTGTAACAGCTCCTTTATTATCATCAATGTCCGCTGTCACATTTAGTCTTGTTTGATTGTACGTAACAGGTTTTTTTGTATCGTCAGATCTACCTGTTCATGGGACACCTGGTCATTTCGTACATGGTGGCGTTTGTGATTTCCCTTGCGTTCGAGTCTCCGATGATGGCACTCGAGAGGACAATCCTCAAAAAGGACAGAAAGAAAAACAAATGATCGCTGAAAAGGAGCCTAATATAATACACAGAACAATTCAGTTTCTGTTAGAGAATCAGTTACCGAAAGTTGACGACATATTTCATATGGTAAAGGACCATTCTTGAAGATGGTCAAATGCCTGCAAATTCAGCGTTCATGTTAATCATGTAGTCCAAACAAATGATTTCACAAACCTTGCTATAGTTGTTGTTTGAAATAATACATCACTTCTGATAATACATTCATGGATTTGCAATAAGTATTTGTCAAAATAGAACAACCTTTATGATATATAAAAGGATTGGCAATGACTGTTTGTCAAAGGTTATACAACACTTCTGAATATTGATCAAGGCATCAGAAATGGAAACACACATAACTTAATTACATGTACATTTCCCTTTTATATGTAACAAAATACATATAAATGTATGTCTTGCATAAACCTTGAATCAGTAATATTTTACCTGATGTTTCCACGTGCCCTTTGGTATCTGTGGTTAATCACCTGTATACATATTATTTTCAGTCTTTCCGTATCAATGCATACCAGCTGTATATATGTAATCAGTCTTCGTCTCACTCCTTGGTTAAATTAGACAGTAACTCTGTGATTTGTGTTAATGTTTTCCTTTTCCCTGTTTCTTTTGAGTATATATCGATATATATAAAGTATATAGATTAAAACATTTTTTTTTTTTTCTGTGTTTTTGACATTATATTTTTCATATCGTTGTATTAAAATTAAGATGCTTGTTTTGTTATATAAAAAATAAAGTTTGTTAAGGTAAGATAAGTCTATGCATATCTCTATAGAATTGGATTATTAAGTTCTATAGAACAGTTCTCTATAGAATGGGATTAACAAAATCTATATAACAGATATGTATAGAATGGGTTTACCAAACTGTAAATAACAGATCTCTAGAATAGAATAGCCAAACTCGATACAGCAGATCTCTATATAATATAATGACTAAACTCTATATAATGGATCTCTATAGGATGGGTTTACCAAACTCTATATATGGCAGATCTCTATAGAATGGGATTACCCGACCAAACCATATATAAAGAATCTCTATACAATAGGATTACTTAACTCTACATAAAAGATCTTTTCAAAATGGTATAGCCAAACTATATATAACATATCTGTATAGAATAGAATTACCAAACTCCATATAACAGATCTGAATAGAAAAGGATTACCAAACTCTATATAACAGATCTGTATAGAATAGGATTACCAAACTCTATATAACAGATCTCTATAGAATGGGATAGCCAAACTCTATATAACAGATCTCTATAGAATGGGTTTACCAAACTCTATATAACAAATCTCTATAGAATGGGTTTACAAAACTCTATATAACAGATCTCTATAGAATGGGTTTAACAAACTCTATCTTACAGATCTGTATAGAATGGGAAAGCCGAACTCTATATAACAGATCTCTATAGAATTGGATTACCAAACTCTATATCACAGATCTGTATAGAATAGGATTACCAAACTCTATATAACAGATCTCTATAGAATGGGATAGCCAGACTCTATATAACAGATCTCTATAGAATGGGTTTAACAAACTCTATCTTACAGATCTGTATACAATGGGCTAGCAAAACTCTGTGTAACAGATCTGTTTAGAATGGGTTTACCAAACTCTATATAACAAATCTCTATAGAATGGGTTTACAAAAATCTATATAACAGATCTCTATAGAATGGGATTACCAAACTCTATATAACAGATCTCTATAAAATGGGTTTACCAAACTCTATATAACAAATCTCTATAGAATGGGTTTACAAAAATCTATATAACAGATCTCTATAGAATGGGTTTACCAAACTCTATATCACAGATCTGTATATAATGGTTTACCAAATTCTATAAAACAGATCTGTATAGAATGGAATAGCCGAACTCTATATAACAGATCTCTATAGAATGGGATTACCAAACTCTATATCACAGATCTGTATAGAATGGGACTACCAAACTCTATATCACAGATCTGTATAGAATGGGTTTACCAAACTCTATAAAACAGATATGCATAGAATGGAGCTGCCGAACTCTTCACATACCTTGAAAAGTCTAGTGATACAGTAACACATTTACTTTAAAGTGAGTAGAAGAGGTGTAAATCCTGTGGGTTTTTTTACCAGTGATAGAAATAAAGGTTCTCTATTGAGTGCCAGTCAGTGATTTGTATTCATGGTACATTTAGTTAGTTAAAATAACTGTTTGCTTATTCAGTTTCTTTAGCAAGTACACGTAACTAATTAGGGATAATATGATAAATAAAACTACAATTATTATTTTCTCCAAGAACGTTGATATAAATAAAAATAGTAATAATGAATAAAAACAAAAGACACACACACAATCACCAGACACGAATATACGTCATGCTTTATATGTCTCTGCACATACACACGAATAAGAATAATAAATAGAAAAATAAATAGGTGTTATAATTAATTATTTCCAGTACATCATACCAAACACGTAGCAAGCTGTTAACCCTTGTTAACGAAGTGTGTGCTACGTTTGTTATAACTCAGACAGATGATACGCCAGGATTGCTGAAAGACATTGGACAAAAAAGTAAATGCAATGTGGTTGTGTCAATACGAGCTCTGGTTTTAACTATAGAAGTGTTTCGTCGCGTATGAAGTCATTCAACGCATGCACAGTCAGTACAAATCAAATGGACGGCACGTAAATTAAAGTAGTAGACGTAGTGATAGATCACAATATATGAATTAACACTACACAGAACGTTCAAAATCAAAATCTATTTAACGTGAGTAAACCGAAAATAGAACTCTTGCAAACATTAATTATTACATTATAATCAAAATGTTCTATGAGGTTTCTCGTACACCAAATGTTTCACTGTAATGAAATAATAAATGCCTTCAGCATTTACCCTGATGTAGTTCTTGGCTATCAACAGCGCGTGTGTCTATTTATAGAGCTGATTTAATTGAGTAAGGTTCACCTGGAAGGTTTGCTTGCCGAATACCAAAAGTGGAACACCTCATCATATAAGTCAGTTTATGAAAGTAACCGACAGCATTTTTTTTTTGTAATTCATTTCAAGAGATTTTCGTCGTTATCTTACAAATTAGTATTATTAATACATTAAGATAATCGTTTGAACGAATATTTTTCTATGTTAAGAAATGTATTAGAATATTTAAATTGACGCATCGTACCATTTCCAGGATATTTGTTTTATTCTGATATTTCAATTGATTTATGAGCAACATTTAAGTATAAGGCAATTGATTTAAACTATATCAATTTTATTTAGAATACATGCAGATAACATTGATTCCATCTGTATAAAATGTAACCGATTTTGAACACCGTTCCATTTTAGGGACCCGTATGTTAACGTTACATCGACAAAATTAATAAGAACATGAATAAATGACCCACTTGTTACAACTGTTATGTTCTATAAGACAGAAGATAATGACTAGATCACTGTCAGGCGCTAGTCGGACATTTTGTGCCGTGCATGCACACATGTCAACAGTGTCGCTACTGCCTCCGGCGTTATCGATACAATTATAATGTTGCGTATATGGTTATTCAACTCATATACAATCACTTTCAATTTGAATAAAATGGCCTTAAGTGTATTACACAAACTTGAGTTAACCAGAAAGATGAAATCGATGGTGTGTTATGTTACATAACTGATGTACACACAATATTTTGTGTGAGATCAATAAGAAATGCAGACAGTTTAAGTACATGTAGTAGTGTAGTTCTAAGATGAGTTGCAATGTAGATACATGTACGATTTTTTTCTACACACAGGGAACCGCTGAGTAACTATCGAGGAATTATCGAACTCTTGAGAGATGAAACGTATAAACAATGCATATCAGAAGAACCTTATGAACGGATTCGCTTATTTCAAACAATAAAACATTTATCAAGTTGGAGTGTATGAACCGCTCTGTGTTCCAAATCTCCGACGCAGAAGAGTTCCAATTTGTTAGACGAAATACAACACACAAGAAACTTTATTTAAAGTTGCATACATGTACATGTAAACAAGGAACATTAGCTCTTGAAAGCTATCATTGCGACAAAGATATGTAAATAACAATACCACACCATATTACAAGTACATTGTTTAAAGGGGGATAATCATAAATATTATCAAAAAGCAATAATAATTATCACAGGAAAAGACAGTATCATATACCAGGTTTCTAAGTGATTGTGAGCCCCCTTCCTTCAACGGTCCCCGGGATATGATTCTTTTGATACAATAAATATATTAAAATAGTGTTAATATGAAAAGCAATAAATGTGATCACAGATAAGTAGTATTCAGATTAAGTTAATTAAAACATAGTTAATAGTGATTAAATACGTGACTTACTTAGGAATTAGGATTGAAACATTATCTCTCTGTCTAGACATCGCTTGTACATATATACTTATACACATCGGTTTGATGTGTCTTTTACATATCGTCTTTACTTCGCAACACAATCCCCGCCACAGGGACACGATCTCCGGACCAATAATATTCATCATTCCCTTTGTCAAATTATGAATATGCTTGTGCTGCATATCCAACGCTATTTCATAGCTTGACAAAAGGACCAGTCGGTCTTGAAACGTTGCGTCACTTTTAATACGATTCATTGTTTGTGTAGAAAGTAACACATTGATTTATCAATATTAATCAAATGATATCTACATCAATTCTATAAAAAAAAATATTCAACATAAAAAAATAAATAAAGGATTTTATTTCTACTGGATAGATTAATAAAATAAACATAATATGAAAAGGCAAAGCCTTAAAAGAGCGAAGCTTTTGTTGATTTCTGATATTTACTGATTCAGAATGAGATACTACTGCTTTCAGAATGAGGCAAGATAAAATCTATTTAAAGTCGGCTAGTCGAGGGATAACAATAAAACATAAATTCTTATGAGATTAAGACCAACATAACAATCGGGCAAATTCGGCCTTTTTTTGTTGTTGTTATTAAAGTCCGTTCTGGGAAGTATGGCAGCACGTTCTTTTTTGAATATTATTTAATATTTCCTGTCGGATGGCCGAACGAGCCCCGCATGGGATAAGTTCGGACAGGCATTCGGGTAAGTTCGGCCCCATTGGAATCAGCTTAATTATGTCATTATAAACCATGCAACGTCAGATTTTGCCGCCAATTGTACGACTTTGTATACGTATGTGTTACATGGGCCGAACTTGCCACGGTATCATTGGCCGAAACTGTCCTTGCCCAGATTGATATTTCAATAAATTCTTATCGTACAGCAATATGGCAGTGAGTGCTTGGCTTAGCTTTTATGTATATCATATAAAGCTGTCAGTGTGTTACACGTTTGACAGTAAAAAAAATAGCAATTCCGGTTACAGAAAGTTCGCATAACAAGAAGCGAGATCATGATTTTCTTTCTATCCTCTCAAAAGTAATTTTCTCCTGTTTAGTAATTTTACAATGGAGTTTCCTCGCCATTTTTTCGTGTGAATGCCCAGCCAACTAAACTGCTAAGATCTTTAAAGTTGTAAATATTAGCTCAAAAACCAAAAATATCAAGGGTGGTCGAACTTGCCCGGTCTCTCGTATGCAGATTTTTTTGTGTCGTTGATGATTGGTAA